GACCATACGGAATTGTCTTTGACGAACGAAAGTGTTGAGACACCTGAGATCCAAAATTGGTTGCAGGCCTCCATCCTTCTTGAGAACCATAAAATATTGGGAGTAGAAACCGTCCAGTGCCTCTTGAGAAGAAACGTGTTGAATAGCATGCTTCTGAAGAAGAACAGAGATTTCTTCTTCTAGAGCAGGTAAGAAGTGATCTTGAGATGACCGAGAGGAGGAAGATCTAAGAACTCTAGCAGGTAACCAAAATGTATGATGGTGAGCACCCAAGTGTCCGTGGTGATGTTGGTCCACTTGTTGAAAAAGGGGACTAGCTGGGGAAGGACAGTCAAAGATATTGTTTGCCCTTCTTGGCAGGGCAGCGGAAATTTTGGCGACGTTGATTAGAAGATTGAGGTGGGAAGGACGTGGAAACAGAAGATGGAGGAAGATTTGCACTTTCCTGAGGAGGTTTATTCTGGCGGTAGGATTGCTGGTAAGGCTGTTGGTATGATTGTTGGTATGACTGATGGGCAGTGAATGGTCTGCACCATTGCTGTTGTTGAAATTTATGCTGTTGGAGATAATAAGATCCAGCTGTTTTTCTAATTTTGTGTAGATTTTCCATAACCTTGTCTGTTTTTTCGTTAAACAGCCCGGCACCATCAAAGGTGAGTTCTTCAATTCGTGACTTGGCATCATTGTTGATAACTGATGAGCGTAACCAGGCATGTCTCCTCACAGCGATGGCAGATGTCATGGCCTTGAAAGCTGCATCAGCAGTGTGCTGCGATGCCAGGTGCTGCTGTTTAGCTAGCACCATCACTTCCAGGTGATTGTTTAGGGCTGCAGTTCTAGTCTCCTCAGGGGCAGTTTGGAGAACTGGAAGGCTTTTATTCCACAACTGCCTCTGATAAGCACCCATTGCTGCTTGACAGTTGGAGACTCGCATCATGAATGATGCCAAGGAGTATAATCGACAGCCCAGCACATCTAGCTTGCATCCCTCTCTGTTGATTGCGGTGACCTTTGAATGGTTTCCTGCTCTGGATTGATTAGACTGTGCCACTATAGAGTTCAGTGCAAAGTGTTTATTGAGGAAGACTGTATCACTGCAGTGTGTTCTATAGTGGTTCTCTATTCTCCTAGAGATCTGTAAGAAAGAAGGAGGTTGTGCCCTAGATTCCTTGATAAGGTCCAGCATAGCCGAGATAAAGGCTAGGCTCAGAGGAGGTGATTTCTCTTGATTAATATCCTCAAATACTAGGTCGTGTCTGGGGGGTGGGCGTTGATCTATAGCGAACTCCAAAGACTTAGCCATACGCATGATTAACTGTGAATAGGATGTGAAATCCTCAGAGAGAGAGGGAGGATGGATGTCAGTGACGTCTGAGTCAGGAGTGGGTAGGTTTGAGGGAGACTCCTTACATGCCTCCGATTGGAGGTCTTGTTTGGACCCCAACGACACTGAGGAACCCCTTGGTTCTCTACCAAAGGATAGAGGTGGTGAGGGTGAGTGGTGGTGGGGTCTTGACATGGAGGCTGCAGATCATGAAACAGATGCAGACACCTCTACCTTGGGTGGATGCGTGGATTTTGAAGGTGCACAAGATAATCGAGAATGGGTCACGTTAGAATGTGATACCGAAGGTAACAGTACCGATGAGGCTCTAGGGCACTTTTCTGGGTGAAAAGCACGCTGGTCCTCATGTTGGCGCTTGGAAGAAGGCTTTGCGGCCATTGGGTCGATCTCGAGATATGCTCGATGCTCACGTCGAGGAGGTGAGGTTGATAACGATGATTTGGATGATACATACACGTATCGCACCCTCTTTGGCCTAACATAGTCCCTGGTATCATATGCGGGATTGATGTCGCACTCTCGATCGACGTTGACTGGCACGCGGATCCATCTTGACATACAGCGGTTCTTCATGTTCAGCCAAAGCAGGACGCCGTGATGTATGCGGGAGTACAATAACATCCCAATGCTGAGGGAGCTGTCGTTCTGTCGGGACGTGCCAATGCTTCAACAAATGTTTCTAAGGAGGAGAATGCTGTGGCAAATCCTCCGGGTCCAACAATTGAGCCACTGCTGCCTGCCTGATAGATATAGGGCTCGAATGGGCCGAGGCTAGGCTGGAAATAATCTAAGCCTCAGAATGGCCTTGTGTCAGAGACAGGCTTGGAATTGACACCGACGCCTGTGTTTGTGGCTGTGGTGGAAAGCCCTGTTCCTTCAAGGTAGAGTCGTGTAGTTCCCTGGAAGGCTCCTCTAGTATACAGTTTTGAAGAGGCCTTGGCGGATGGAGTAGCTGGTGCTGGCGAAGTAGTGGGGTTGGGGCGAGGAGTCGGAGGAGCAGATGTAACGGTAGGCTCCACAGCTGTTGGGCCTGACGGTCTCAACAACTTTTCCCACAGATAGGAGATTAGTTGTTGCAAAGGCATCTTTAAGGCTAAAGGCAGGGTTACTCGAACTGGAGGAAATTAGTTGTTGCAAAGGCATCTTTAAGGCTGGTTTAGTCAACTTTTTACACTCTTGACAGGACCCGGGCTGATGTCTTTCCCCTAGGCAAAACAAACAGTGGTTGTGGCTGTCCGCGAATGGGATTTTATTTGCACATGACATGCACCATTTGAATGGGCTTGACGAGGCCATAAAATTTGGCAGGAACCTGACAGATAGTATTAATGATCGAAAAACTCACAGGAGACATTAACAGATAGTTCAATTGTAGTCCTAGTCAAGCCGAAATATCAATCCAAGAGATAAAATCAAATAAGTCCAATAATATAAGACCAAATCGTAATCCGAAACACAACGATAAACGGTCCGAGTTCAAAGCCAATTAATCACGGAAATCACGGTACAGAATCAAAGAGAAAGGAAGATCAGGATAGCCTGGGTCGGTAAGCCAGATAAGAATTGTAGTCAAAAACAATCTGAAGTCAAACCAGAAACCATTTTAAAGAAGAATTAGCTCTAAGCGATTCGAAGTAGTCCGATTGCAGCGGCGGCAAAAAGGAACTGAGGTACCCCAGGCGGGCGGAGCTATAGAATATTCCAAAGAGTCCTGCGCAGGCACAGTTTAACCCATTTGTGTACATTCGCAGAGACCACGAAGAAGAACCAGCTTCCAGAAAAGGCTGTAACATTGTATTGGGTATGCCATAAGTGATTTGCTATTAGATGTTTAAATTCATGAATTCATGGTTCTGTTTGCTATATTTTATGGCAATGGTGACGCATATGGTTTGATTCTTGCCACGGGTCTCCTTTCTCAGTCTCTTTCATCATGGTGCTGTCTCCTGACTCCATTTGGGTCAGATGGTGACATGGATATCATAGCTTAGCTAGAGAGAAGCCCTGTAACACAGGTAGAGTCTCACGACTTGAAGTGAGGAGGCTTTGGTGAAGATATAAATGTGGCATTTGGGGGGAAAGTTCTCTCTCACTTTTAGCAAAGTAGCAAAGTAGTCAGTGCCAGCTATCCCATACATCTGGGATTAGGCTTAGCAGGCCAGGTGGTGCAGTGGTCTGCACTAAGCAGCAGTTGCAGCACCTCAAGAAGTTGCTGAGAGTGGATAGGCAAGAGTTACCTCAACCAACAATTCGGAAAAGGGCCACAGTGCTTATGCTGCCATAAAGACAGACAACTGTACACAAGGGCTACAGACTGAACAAACAGGCATAAAAAAGACACACATAAAAGAAAAAATAACCAGCAGCATCTAGCAGGGTTGCTGCTATGTTGAAATAATTGAAGAGCTGGCTATTTTAGTCAAGAAAGAAGGCAAGTGAGGGAACAATCACAACTTTTTTCCCCAGTCTGCTGCTTGAATGATTTGCATCAGTGCTTTTAGGAAGGAACCAATCTGCAAGGCCAACATGGGATAAAGCAAATCACAGACATGAACAAAATATTGGAGATGCTTAAATGTTTTTATTTTAATCAGGAAAGTTAGCTGAGAGAATATAGGAACATTACCAATAAAAATGTCACAACAAGCAGGCTTACTGCATTTGCCCCCCTCCCCCCATATTTGCCAAAGGGTCTGCATGAGTGTAGACAAAGAAAATGGACAGGTTATAGGTTCCTCTGATAGAACATCAAAGCAGAAGCTTTTGTCCAATGAGGGAAGAATCTCTGTTATAATCAAGGTGATTCCGTCTTTACCCAACAGCTTTTGGAAATTATCCAGGATCTTATGTCTATGACTACACTTCAACCAGCTTGTTAAAGTAGGTCTGCTCTAGCCATTCAGATCGTAGGAGGGACAGTTAAAGCAGAGCTACATTAAAACTTCCTCCTCTCTCTGCTGAGTCCTTGCTCTTCCTCTCTCCCTTTGGTCACCTAGCTGAGTTAATGCTAAAGTGGCAAGCTTTTAAAGGAAAAAAGAAAGAAAAAGAATAGTAAGGGAAGATGAAAGCAGATCCAAGCACCAGGTTTGCATAGGAAATTATTCAAAAAGCAGCCAGTTTCCCTGTGCTCTACCTCTCACTGCTACTGTAACTAGCTGGAATAGCTTTACACACAACAGCTACAAAACCCTCTACATTAGCTCAAGCGATTACACTGCCTGAACAGATGTGAATGCATTCAATTTTTTAAAATTAGAAGCTCCAGCAGCAGAGGTTCCCTCTAAGGTGCACGGCTGCATGAGTGCATATGACTCTGTTCCCCTCCACACAGCTTTCCTCCTCCCACATACCCACAAGCGAGTGTTTCCAGCCCCTTTGGTTCCAGTTGCAACAGAACCCAGGTTATTATTTATTATTTATTTATATCCCGCCTATCTGATCAGTGGGTGGAGTACCGTCCAGCACTGCTGAAAATTAGATGGGACATTGGAAATAAGGCATTTTGAGTGTTTTGCACATTCTAAACCACAGTATAAATATATAAATATGTTACAATAGTAATGATGTTACAATTTTAATAACACACTGTATTACAATATTTGACTCTATTTGCATTTAGAGATCCAAATGTGTAAATAAGAGAATAAGGCAGAGCTCTTTTGAGATACTTTATTCATTACTTTAAGAAGAGATACTCTTATTATGCCTGCCCAGCACTAAAAGAAATGAGCTGTATTTGTTAATATACAAAGCTACATGATACTTATAAATAAGTACTGGAACACTTACCAGAAGGTAAGTATCATGAATATCTAAACATTACAGTACATTTGTAGTGATTAATTTACACTGCTCTGCTGCTTCAGAAAGCATCATATAGAAATAAACTGTTCATAAATACAAGTGGTGTACTCAAATTAATTCACTGTATTGCAGATTATAAACCCTTCAATATACAATACCTTTTCTATACATTCTCATGTATCATAGTATTCTCTGTGCTTCAAAAACAATTTCTTAACAGCTTATGAATACTGCAAGGGATACTGTTAAGCATCAGGTTCGTTATCACGGAGACAAAAAGTCCTGTTTAATTTAGACATTTATTTGGAAGAAATACATTGGCAACTTCAGGGTGGTGGTGTTTATAAAGAAGCATATGAAGAACTACTTCTGAGGAGAAACACTGCTAAGTAGGATTAGAAACAAGAATTCTGCAATGAACATTCTTACTATCAGTAGAAATGAGATACATGTATACCTGTCTAGCAATTAAAACTTAAAACTGACAGACAAGAATAGACACACATATGAGGGTAGAAATAACAACAATAATTTTGAAGACAGAACACAGTAGAGGCTCTGAGACCCACATAAATTGTAATTGATCAGATTGGCAACTGAAACTTAACATCCACTTGAGCTTGCTTTGCTAAAGTCACTATTTCAGAAAGTTTCACAACCTAGGAGAAAAACAAAATAAAAATCGTAAGATACTCTGTTTAAATTTAAAGTAACATTATCAATGCACAAGACTGCATTGATGATATTATGCTGGCACAGCAAATCGGCATTCTATAAAGCAATTCTAAAAATGGGGGCAGCCCATACAAAACATTATAACCTTTGAACCATACTTCATTCAGATCAGCACGAAATTTAGCACAACAAGTGAAGACAGTATGATGCTGCTCTGTGCCAAATTTGTCGAAGTTTGGTCAAATAGTTTTTAAGTTATGTCTTTGTAAGTACAGATATGTTATTCCCATGGGTACACAGAAGAGGGCCTTCTCTGTTGTAGTCCCAGACTTTGGAACTCCATCCCACAGGAAACCAGTCTGGCTCCATCTTTGCTGCCTTTCTGCAAACAGGCAAAGATCTTTCTCTTCATGGAAGCTTTCCCTCACTGACTGACTGCCTGAGTAGAATTTTTAGATGGACTGTTGTGTTTTTAGAATTGCTTTTGTTTACGATTTCTTAGACTGGAATTTATTTGATATTTTTAGTACTTGTATACATACTGATTTAGCTTTAAAATTTGTCTTTTAATGATGTAAGCCATTCTGGCTACTTTTTAAGGAGAAAGGTGAGATAAAAATATTTTAAATAAATACTTTTTTCCCTTTCTTGCTTCATTGTCTTCCTTTCATATAGTACAGGTCAGAGGTCTCCTGCCCTCCCCCACCCACACGCATGGCCTGCCCTCTGCGAGTGCACCCCACCCCTCTGTGAGCACGGGGGTGCTCCACCCCTCTGTGCACGGACCCGTCTCCTGCCCTCCCCCACCCATACGCATGGCCTGCCCTCTGTGCATGTGCGCCCCTCCCCTCTGTGAGTGCACCCCACCCCTTTGTGAGCACAGGGGTGCTCCACCCCTCTGTGCACGGACCCCACCCTCTCAACCAGTCCACGATTCAGAAAAAGTTGGGGGCCACTGCTATACATGATTTTGATTTGGGTTTCCAGTGACAGTCTGCTAATTCCCAGCTCTGCCCCACACTTTTTTTATTTCAAAAGGCAAGGGTACATTTTCTGGAAAACATGCACACAACATGTTTGTAGAGCTTTTGGTTCAATATAGCTTGCTTAACTCAAGGAAAGGGTTTAGAAATTGGAGCATATTTTTCTAGTCTGCATTCTGTGGAGTGGGCATGGCAACATTAGTTTACCTGAGAAGTTAAAGGCTGTGTATGTGTTACACTTATTCCCACCTTTACTTTTCCATTTCACTAAGGCCAAAACTCTCCAAATTAGAGGGTCTACAGCTGTTCTTGTTTCTCTCCTCTCCCAGCAACCATAGTACAGGTCATGTGTTCATCTTCTGGAATCCTCTAAGACTGGGAAGATTTCATGAGGGAAGTATTGGTTGGGATTTGTGTATAGTATATGTATACTAAAAGTCTGTTTCAAAAAGCCAGGAAATGCAATTCTTAAAAAAACCTCTGGTCTATAAATGTGGGATTATTCTACTTCTACGTCCATGATTCAAAACAACAGGAAATAGTTCAATATTTCTGCACAATATTATACCCATGTTGCTAGCAGGAAAAATGATGTCAAGCTTTTCATAGCAAAGAGCAGCCTGAATGCTGACAAAACCAATGTCATCAGTCAAGATGGTCTACAGCAGTGATCCCCAACCTTTTTTGGATCACGGACCAGTTGGAGGGTGTGGGCTCCATGCACGGGGGGACAGGGGAACCCCCGTGCTCACGGGTGGGTGTGTCCTGCTCATGGATGGGCATATTGCACTCAAGTGCATGTGCGCAAGCGTGACATGCCCCTCCACAAGTGCGATATGCCCACCATGCATGCATGCGGGGGCGGAGATCCGTGTCCGCGGCCCAGTTATGACAAGCACACGGACCGGCACCAGGCAGCGGACCGGGAGTTGGGGACCTCTGGTCTACAGGACACCCTCTTGTGCTAACTACCATTCGCACTTGTTGAACAGAAGCCCTCACAATTGCTTTGTGTTTGGGTAAGAAGTGGTTAACTGATGGAACAAGGAGTCAGGTTTTGGGATTTTTCCTTGCTTGGTGGCACTTTATGAGTGCGGTTTAGACCCAGGAAACATGGAAGTGCCTTTGGATGGTGGCTGTGAAGCTGAGCAATGATGATAATAATCCAAGAACACAAAAACCCATCAGGACCTGGTACTAGTAGAGGCTCCTAATCAAACTGTTCATCATAATCCTTGACAGAGCTGTTGTGATCCACAAATGGGAGTAGCCACGATTTTTGGATGGAGAGGGAGAAATTTCTTGGAAAAAATTTGAGGAGTAAGTCCAATGCTGAGCTTTTGAAATTGGTGCAAGCTCTTGCAAACTTGGAATGTACTTCTTCGGTTTTGCATTTTAATGTGGTACTCAAAAACTGTACTATTAGAAGGTGAGGAATAAGAATCTGAAGAAGAGTATTGCAGCTTTTTGCAGTTAACTTTCTGTTTTCTTCTTTTATAAATAACTTGTTTCTTGCTTTACTACTTTAATTTCTACCCCACCTTTCTTCCTGTACAGCAATTTAAGGTAGCTTACAAATTTATTTAAAAACACAAATATTAATTGCTAATACACTGGCTGAAATATTCTTACTTTGTTATGCACATGGAAGACAAAAGGCTTAACGTACAGTCCTTCCTAGCCAGCAGTTAAGCAGTCCCTGCTGAGATTCCTGAGTGTGCAACAAGTCAGAAGCATCCTCCCCAACCCTTGCACAGAAATCCCAGCAGTGACTGAATGTTACACCTTCCCCCTTCCTTAATTGTTTATTAAAAAACAATTAAGCATATTGATTAATAAAAGGTAGATCGTTCGTATGTTTTGTGAACACTGCTTAATCTTTGAAATCACAAGGCCTGGATCCATTTGCTGCAGAACAGACACAGAATTCTTTTCCTCAATGAACTGGGCTGAAAGATGCTGAAAGAAGTGGGGTCCATCTACTGGCCAAACACAGTAATTGAATTTATAGGTAAAGCTGCCTGGTTTTGACACAAAATAAACAGCAGCTGCCCAAAAGCTATTCCTTTTTAAAAAATGAGTGAGAATAATACTTATATGGTAGGATGAGGCAAAAGTCTAGCAAAGGCAAAGAATGGTTGGTCAATCTGGAGACCAATAAGACGACTGTGCAAGGGAGTTCCAGAGTTGCAGGACTGAATGGCCATGCTGATTGCAACTTGATTCGAAAAATTCCCTTGGAGGTAGCAAATCTCAATCACCACTATCTACAGCTCTCTTCACCTCATCCAAAGTGTAGCAATACTGTAGCTAGCAAAGCCTGTTCCTCTGAGGGTGGAGGCCTAAGCCAATGATCTTGCCACTGGTGTCATAAAGTAGCAAAATGCAGAAAAGAGACTAAAAGAGTACTGGTCTTTTTAAAAAAAGGGTAAATAATAAAGAAAATATTAAAATATCTGTAAGAGGTAAAGGACTGCAAATCAGTAAAGACAGAATTTTCAAATAGTTACTCTGTTCTGGGCAAGATCAGGGATTTGACAGAAGAGAAACTATGAAGCTCCTCAAAGGATATATGATCGCTGCCTATCTGGCCAATTGTTGTTTAGTTGTTAAGACGTGCCAAACTCTTCGTGACCCCATGGACCAGAGCATGCCAGGCCCTCCTGTCTTCCACTCCTGTCTTCCACTGTCCAACCATCTCGTCCTCTGTCGTCCCCTTCTCCTCTTGCCTTCACACTTTCCCAACATCAAGGTCTTTTCCAAGGAGTCTTCTCTTCTCATGAGATGGCCAAAGTACTGGAGCCTCAGCTTCAGTATCTGCCCTTCCAGTGAGCACTCGGGTTTGATTTCCTTCAAAATGGATAGGTTTTTTCTCTTTGCAGTCCAGGGGACTCTCTAGAACCTCCTCCAGCACCACAATTCAAAAGCATCAATTCTTTGGCGGTCAGCCTTCTTTATGGTCCAACTCTCACTTCCATACGTCGCTACAGGAAAAACCATAGCTTTGACTATGCAGACTTTTGTCGGCAAGGTGACGTCTCTGCTTTTTAAGATGCTGTCTAGGTTTGTCATCACTTTCCTCCCAAGGAGCAGGCATCTTTTAATTTTGTGGCTGCTGTGACCATCTGCACTGATCACGGAACCCAAGAAGGTAAAATCTGTCATGTGGAAATATGTGTGGTAGAGGAGAGCAGGAGTTGGAAGGGGGAGGAGCAAGAACTGTCAGTTTGGGATGAGAGTATAAGTAGCCAAGTCGAACTGGACATGTGGAAGCGCATGGAAGAGCTGGAGAGGCTAAGAGAGTATGAGAGAATAAAAACCCAAGCGTTATTTAGGGACTTCCCAAATCTGAAGTTAGGGGGATTGTTCCCGGATCCCCCACTCAAGGAATCAGGAGAAGCGAGATATGAGACCTTGGAGTGGTCAGTGATCGTATTTCCTAAGGGGAAATGGAGAGGACGACAGGTGATACGACCGGATTCAAGGTACAACACTCCCCCACCTGAGGGGGATTGGGCCCAGCACCCATGCTGCGGCACCATTTGTGCAGTGAGGAGTGCAGCCCTCTGGAAACCCACTGACATGGAGAAGTTTGGCCCAGCACCCCTGTGCATTCAACAGACTTTGGGTGGGAGTTTGTATTGGACAGTTATGGCTTATTGCCGGAGTTAAGTGTTTTCGATCCAATTATGAACAGTGCTGATCCTTGTGTAAATAATAAAGACAATGATGTTAGAGTTAAGAAGACATCTCCTGTGATATTTCCCATGCAAAATGAGGAGTTGTCAAAATTTGAAACTGAACCCGATCACAGGTCCACACAGTCAGAGGCTTTTGTGTAGTCAATGAAGCAGAAGCAGATGTTTTTCTGGAACTCTCTGACTTTCTCCATAATTGAGCGCATGTTAGCAATTTGGTCTCTAGTTCCTCTGCCCCTTCGAGATCCAGCTTGTACTTCTGGGAGTTCTTGGTCCACACACTGCTGAAGCCTACCTTGTAGGATTTTGAGCATAACCTTGCTAGTGTGTGAAATGAGTGCAATTGTAGGGTAGTTGGAGCATTCTTTGGCACTGTCCTTCTTTGGGATTGGGATGTAGACTGATCTTTTCCAAACCTCAGACCACTACTGAGTTTTCCAAACTTGCTGGCATATTGAGTGTAGCACCTTAACAGTGTCATATTTTAAGATTTTAAATAGTTCAACTGGAATGCCATCACCTCCATTGGCCTTGTTGTTAGCCAAGCTTTCTAAGGCTCACTTGACTTCACTCTCCAGGATGTCTGGCTCAAGCTCAGCAACCGCACTATCTGGGTTGTCTGGGATGTCCAGATCTTTCTGGTATAATTCTTCTGTGTATTCTTGCCACCTCTTCTTGATGTCTTCTGCTTCTGTTAGATACCTTCCATTTTTGTCCTTTATCATGTCAATCTTTGCACACAAACGTTCCTTTAACATCTCCAATTTTTTTTTAACAGATCTCTGGTTTTTCCCTTTCTATTATTTTCTTCTATTTCTTTGCACTGTTCATTTAAGAAGGCCCTCTTGTCTCTCCTTGCTATTCTTTGGAAGTCAGCATTCAATTTTCTGTAACTTTCCTTATCTCCCTTGCATTTTGTTTCCCTTCTCTTCTCTGCTATTTATAAGGCCTTGATGGACAGCCACTTTGCTTTCTTGCATTTCCTTTTCTTTGGGATGGTTTTTGTTGCTGCCTCCTGTATGTTACGAGGGAATTGGTTTAGATTATACCTGACTAGCCCAGTGGTTTTTCCTACTTTCTTCAGTTTAAGCTTGAATTTTGCTATAAGAAGCTGATGATCAGAGCCACAGTCAGCTCCA